AAAACACAAGCATAAAGCATATTTACGCATAAACACACATATCATCCTGAAACAAACCAGGCAATTCCTTTCAACAATTTGCAAAACAAATTTAGCAATTAACGTGCCACTGACAAACCAACCACTCAAACAATCAACCAGCCACCCAGTCAACAGTCAAGTAAACCGTCACCAAGCAAAAAAGTGTGACTGAGTCATACCTTACCTTTGAGTTGTTGCCACCAGACAGGTACAGATTCTATCACAATAACCATACGTTGTGGATGATACATACAGCCCTGTTTTGGGGGTCGGAACAAATTGTTAGACATACTCATAGTAAGATGAATCAAAACCCTATTTGCCTGCCTGTCTGCCTGTCTTTCTGTCTGACTCTGAGGTACCCTTGCTTCCTGAGTGTGGACTTAATTACTAACTTGGAAGGTATAAACTCTTTAAAACTCCTTTTTGCTTTCTTTATTGTAAGCTAAAATCTAGCTAGCTAGAAGCTATAATTGTACAGTCAGGTATTCCTTCAAAGCATCTTGCTATAAAAATCTGTGAAAAAAAATCTTTGCAGTGCACAAAGCTTAGTAGACTTGTTCTTCAGAACTTTTTGTTGGTCATTATCATGTATCAAGTAAGAAAAATTCCTTTTCCAAAGTTGACCAGTAATTCTGTTCAAGACTGCTAGTGGCTTCTCCTACCTTTTTGAGTCCTGTCTCTGCCTGTCTGTTCTGGTATTTCTTGAATGTCTACCTAGCTACTTTGCAATGCTAAAGAAAACCTGCCTGTCTTTGCTGCCTGTGCTGATCTTTGTTTCTGAGCTCTAACAGCTTCCTGACTGTCTGCAAGCCCTCATAATCTACTGTCTATGCACATTTATACTTCAACAAGTACTGTCAGTTGTTCCTAATACACACCACCTTTTGTCACACCACTCGTGTCACTCCTGTCTAACCTCGTAACCGATACAAATTTGGTGCCAAATGGCTACTTTATCAGGGAGAAGGCTAAAAAGCTGTAAGATCATCATTGTACATAGTGCACATTCCATTTAACTGCACCAATAGAGGATGGGGTATAGCACGTCAGCAGAATGTACTGCGCCTGTGCAAAACCCTGATTTTGTTGGATGCTTGGTCAACGTTGCATCAGAATTTTGCCTGTTGCAGACAATATTTTTTGCTACATAACAATTAGAAACTACAGACGGAGTGTTAACCTTATATGTGCAAATACGACCCTATATGAGACGTTCTGCTGAAGTGATATGCACAATACATGACGGGCTTCGCGCAGGTGCAGTACGTTCTGCTATTACGTGCTGGACACAATGTCATTGACTGAAATGAGGAGAGACTCACATGTAGCTGAGATAGACGGAGTGTCGGATGGATTCCAGTGACAGTTGATCGAAGAAGCCGTCAGATCCGAGCACCAGGTACTCCTCTGTCCCGGTGAGCTGGGTGTGTGTCACCTCAGGCACTGCAGTCAGGCCAGGCTGGACGGTACAGGCAACAAAGTCAGACAATGTAGTCAGTTTAGTTCAGCTTATTGTTCAGCTTAGCAAACACAGCTCAGGTCTTGACTGTGGCTTTTTAGGTAACCTTCAATAAAAACTCAAGAATACTGTAACAATAAAACACAATAATATCAAAACACGTGACCTTTAAAACCTTTACACTGATATTGATCAATTGATAACCTTGCAAACATGCCCAACTAAATCATCATGATAGTTTGTACCAAGTCTTTTTGGTTCTCAACTTTGGTGGCTAAAAAAAATTGTGTTACAATGCACACAAAAGAAAAGACACAATCATGTCATTAGGTAGCCAATACAATGTCTTAAACAAAAATAAATCCAACAGTATGAACTTACAAAAGAATTGTAAAAAATCATTCTGTTGATGACTTACTCGGTACTCTGTGTCTCCTAGAGATCTTGATACACTCAGGGCTCCGTTCAGCCGAAACTGGCCCTTGTGACACGTGACCGTTCCGCCTGCCTTCTTGATACGTTCCCGCTCTGTCTCACTGGTGCATCTGTTTGTAACGTGTACAGAAAACTTATCAAACCGTTTGAAGGGAGAGAGAAAAATTTTTTGCCAAAGCAGGACAAAGCAACGGGCTTTTAAAAGTTGCTTAATCAGTGTTTGCACCACGAAACAAGATTTTCTTGAATGTGTTTCTGCATAAACCATTACCTCATGCTATAATAAAAAAGAAGGGGTCTATAAGTTGACGATGTAATTCTCCATTTAGAAGGCCCTGTCCCTAGTGCTGAATTTATGGTGCTGAGTCTCTACCACTGACTTAGATAGCTCACCGCGCAACCTGAAAATATGTACCACTGAACTCAAACACAGGTGCAAGTGTTCTCTGTGCAGGCCACACCAGGCGGCCAAGTCAGGGAAGGAACACAAGAAACTGGGTCGAAGGCAGCATCGTAAAAGACACCAGCAGCTGTGTCAGAAGGAGCACAAGAATCTGCGTCGAAGGCAGCGTCGTAAAAGACACCGGCAGCCGTGTCGGAAGGAACGCAAGAATCTGGGTCGAAGGCAAAGTCGTAAAAGACACCAGCAGCCGTGTCAGAAGGAGCACAAGAAGCTGGGTCGAAGGCAGCGTCGTAAAAGGCACCGGCAGCCGTGTCGAAAGGAACG